GAGAGGGGAATGAAAATATATGTATATATATACTTTTCTCTCGCTTTATACAAACACATACGCATTTTATACATTTGTGTTTGTGTAAAAGCGAGAGAGGCGAGGGAGACTGCCCAGCAAGAACGAGAGTGGCGAGCGAGATTCACCAGGAGAGAGGCGAAATAGCAACAGTTTGCTATGGGGTACAATTAAATCAAACTATAGTTATAGCATTTAATGTGAATTAATAGTTTGCTATTATATACAATTTTCCCTATTTTATTTCACTTGAGAGATGGAATGAATTAGTCCAAAAAGCTTATAATCCCGGGACAACTTTGCTTTCGAACCAAACGACCCTTTATACTAAGTTTTGAGACACGGAGAGGATGTAAATTACGTACTTTTACTGGTAAATATATGAAGTTGGTAAAAAAAATGAACAATTTTAGTTTTTGAGTAAGAACAATTTATACAAGTTATGTCATCAGTATACAATGATTGTAATGGCCCAACTTAGAGATGTGAAAAATGAGCCCAATTATAGATAATTTGTCCAACTCATTCAAAATTTTAAGGGTTGAGCTCAAGGTAATTTGAATTAGGTTCAATCTCAACTTATTCAAGTCCTAACTCATTTTAAGAGAATCCTCAATTGAGCCCAATTTAATCTCCAATTTTAACCCGTTTTAAGATTCTTTATTCGCATTGATGTAATATGTGTTCCTATATTGAAGGTATGAATTAGTGTCTATTTTATATCTTTTAGAATTTATCTATCCATTTATAATTCTTTTTTCAATTTTTCTTGAGTTAAAATTTAAATTGTGATTATAATAAACTTAAATAACAATATATTTAAGGAAAATTGTTTAAAATAGAAAACTATTAATTCAAATTAAATGCTATAACCACAGTTGGGTTTAATTGTAACCCGTAGCAAACTGTTGCCATTTCGCCTCTCTCCCTGAATTTCTCGCTCGCCACTCCCGTTTCTCGCTGGGCAGTCTATCCTCGCCTCTCTCACTCTATACAAAAACAAATGTATAAAATGCATTTGTGTTTGTATAAAGCGAGAGAAAATTGTATATATACATATCTTTTCGTTCCCCTTTCTCCCCTCTCCCAGATCTCGCTCGCCACTCTTATTTGCCTCTCTCACTTTATACAAACACAAATGTATAAATTGCATTTGTATTTGTATAAAGCGAGAGAAAATTGTATATACTAATACATATATTTTCGTCCTATACACTTATTATTATACAAATACAGATCTTCCCCTGCCCAATTTTTTTTTGTCTTTCTCTCTTACTCGCTTTATACAAACACAGATTATACAATTGATTCTTTTGTATATGTATACCGAAACAGATTATACAATTGCTTCTTTTGTATATGTATAGCGAACTATACATATTAATAGCCATAGCAAACTATAGCTATAGCATACAAATATGATTTTTATGTTTGCTATATGTGAAAGTGGCTCAATAAAATAATATTCCATCTCTCTAAATATAAGTGTTTTAGTTTTACCAACACAATTTTTTTTTTAAAAATTGAGACTTTTGAAATTTGTGGTCTTAAATTATAAATGTATACAATCATATAAATCTTGCGATCTTAAACTAGTCATTTAGACTGTAGAATGTTGGAATTGAAAAACTTAATAAATATATAAAAAGACACTTTGTTTAGAACATACAAAAAAGAAAGTAAGATTAAATAAATCTTCAACCAAACAAAAATACGTTTAATCTTGGAATATTTTATCTTTATCTCATAAACCAAACGACTTCCATGGGTACAACTTAGTTATTAGCTAAAATGAGGGTTAAACTTTTTGGGGTTGAAAAACATATCTTTTTAATTATTGTCATGGCTCTATCAAATCTTTAGTCTAGGAGAGATGTCATAATTAGTTTTCACTTTTAACCTTTTTATGTTAAATGATTATATATGGTCTCCCATTCTAATCAAGACAAATGCTTTTACCTTAACCTAACTAATCATTTACTTCCTTAATCACCTCAACAAATTAGAATTGATTGGTCGTCTTAATTATGATTTTTACTACAAATTGGTTGGGAAAAAAGTTTGCTCAATTAGAATACTTTTGTATGGGGTAGCACTCGGAATTATATATATATATATATATATATTCTTTTGCAATATCATGCAAATTTATTGTAGTTCGATTGTGTAGAGTTACATAGTTGTAGTACTATTTTGTTATTATAAGTTATTTTTTTTACTACTTATTATCTCTTGTACTTTCAATATGTTTTTTCAAGTCTATTTTTGTTTGAACAGTGAGTCTATCGGAAACAGGCAAACAACTTTCTACCTCACCTATGTATACTTTAGTCTCTCTAAACCTCACTCTGCGAGAATATACTAGATATCTTTTTATTATTATTGTATCATGTAGATTGATTTACAATAATAGATAACTCCATCTATTAAACAATATTTGATAACATGAAAAGAAAAAAATAACCAACTATAATCGATAAAATTATACTAATAATGTGAAAAATACTTCACTCATTATGTCCAAGGTATGGAAATGTGAACAATGTTGTCGTCAAAATTATTGAGTCCCTCTTAGAAGCACCGTACAGCTTTATGTCTTTGACAAATGACAATGCCTCCAAATTATGAGTTTGACTTCATTCT